ACGTGAGAATGCAGGCCACGGGCTAGCCTGCTGGGTAGCCCCCCAGCCTCGCAGCTTAGAGAGAACGTAGCAGGGTCCCATGTGAGATGGGAACATCTACCTTGCTGGGTCCCTCCTTAGGGGCACCAAGACTTCCCTGGACTAACCGGGGGGGAGGAAGGGGGCTCTGCCCTTTGCCCTTCCCCAGCCTTCCTGTAGGTAGGGCGTAGGGCCAGTCACGCCACGGTTGCTAGACAGGAGAGGCCTTGCCATGATTAGTGAGTCAGTAGCCAAGTCTCCCCCGAGATGCTGGTGAAATGGTCCTGCAACTGGCCCATCCTTTTGCTTTCCCTTTGTGGTGACGCCAGGGGGCTGCTGGAGGGCCCAGCAGGCAGCCCACCAAGTCTCACCAGGCCAAGGATCGGCCCCGGGCCCCTCCACTTCAGGGGGCTTGAAGATCAGAGGTGGCTTCTTCACTAGGACAATGCCAAGGGCTTGGGGATCAGGCTCCTCCCGGAAGACGTGGCCAGTCCAGATCTGTCTGGCCGGTTCTAGACATCTAGGGATTTCTGGCGCGTCGGGTTTGAGGAACCGAGTCCCAGTCCCCCAAAGAGGAGCGGAGAAATGAGCCAGCTGGTGGTTCCCCCAGGAACTGGTGGGTGTGTCACGGGAGGCTGACGTGAGCATGGCCCAGGTGTCGATATGCAACGCTGCCCGCCTGCGCCATGAGGCGCTTTAAGCTCCGTGTCACAGGAACCAGTAACAGCTCGGCCACCGTGCAAGCAAACAGCAGCCTGGGTCACAAGGGACTTTCCACTGCCTCCGTGCCTGTCTGTCACAGACGCGTTAGCTAGTGTCCTGGAAGGAAAAACCCAGCCACTGACAGAGCCTGCGAGCAAAGGGGCTTGTGCAGTGATGAGTAATCTAGGCTAGCGAGCGGGCTGCATGTGCAGCCCTCCTTCCTCTCAACGGGCCACAAGATGGTCATGGCCAAGACAGGCTCCCAGGATAGGGGAGTTTTGCTCACGGCACGGCGTCCCTAGAATGTGCGGGATTTGCCGACTGAACCGCAGCAGCGCTGTGATTGGCTGCAGAGGGAACGCCCGGCTCTCACAGCCAATGTTGTGTGCAATCAGCCCGCACCAGCTTCGCATGCGTGTCACGTTAGTAAAACGATGTAGACGGAAACCCGCGGAATCTGGGCATGGACAACGGTAAACAAAATGTCTCTCGTTGGCCACCCATGGAACCCTCCATCGGTGGTCTTGTGGCTGACAGTCTGAGCCAGCAAATACGGTTTGTATCCCAGGACAGGCGACCCTGGGTTCCAGACGCCTCGGGGACTGCAGGCTGTTGGTAACTCTGATCTAAAACATTATGGTGGCGCTTTCAAAAGTTTACCACTCCCCCATCAACTGAATGCACTTTTGAAACTTGATTCTGCAGAAGAAGAACGCTGCTTCCAGCTCTCTCGCATTGAAGGACACACAGAAACGGTTCCCTTGCCTTGCCAAATCTTTGCTTTTATCCCTTTATGTAGTAGAAATCCCTTGAAAAACACAGTACTGGAGCACCTTAGAGACTAGCAAAAAATGTGGATGGTATTGTGAGCTTTCGGGGGCATAACCCACTTCCTCAGATGAATGGAAGTAGACACAACCCACTTCTTCAGCCGTAAGGTGCTGCAGGACTAGTCGAAGGTTTTTCTATTACAGACTCACATAGCTACCCCTCTGAAACTTTTATTTAGTAGGTTACGTTTAACATGGGGCGGCACTGGATTTGCTTTTCTTTTTGGTCTCTGCCATGCCCGATGGTGTATTTCCAGGTGCAGAGGAGGCGTGCGGTCGGCTGATCAGTTCATAACTCTCGTGACTGTAGCTATGAGGTGCTCCTGTAAGATCAGATCAGAGCCCCTGGCATGTGCCCTGTAAGAGACATTACCCTCATCAGAGCTTGGGGAGAAGAACCCAGGCTAGCTTTGATCCAGATTGTGCACTAGAAGGGTATGTCTACACTACCCTCCTAGTTCAAACTAGGAGGGTAATGTAGGCATACCGCACTTGCAAATGAAGCCCGGGATTTGAATTTCCCGGGCTTCATTTGCATAAACCGGGCGCCGCCATTTTTAAATCCCGGCTCGTTTGAACCCCGTGCCGCGCGGCTACACGCAGCACGGACTAGGTAGTTCGGACTAGGCTTCCTAGTCCGAACTACTGTTACTCCTCATTCCACGAGGAGTAACGGTAGTTCGGACTA